GAATAAGACCTTGCTGAGACGAGGAGGAGCAGGAGGGGGAGGAGGAGGAGGAGGAGGAGGAGGAGGAGGAGGAGGAGGAGGAGGAGGAGGAGGAGGAGGAGGAGGAGGAGGAGGAGGAGGAGAGGAGAAGGAGGAGGAGGAGGAGGAGGAGGAGGAGGAGGAGGAGGAGGAGGAGGAGGAGGAGGAGGGGGAGGGGGGAGGTGGAGGTGGAGTAGGAGGAGGAGGAGGCAGAGGAGGAGGAGGAGGAGGAGGGGGAGGAGGATGAGGAGGAGGAGGAGGAGGAGGAGGCGGAGCGAACGTAGCTGGCGGCCATGTTCGCCTGCTTGGCTAGCCTCGCTGCGGCGCGCGGGCCAGGCCTCCGCTCAGGTCAGCGGGGAGGCGGAATGCGCGGCGGGCGGCGGCGTTGGCCGCCGCCCGCCTTGAGGTAGTACGTGCGGGTGGCGATGCCCATGCGAGTGGCCGAGCTGGCGATCCCGTTTTCGCCGTCGTAGGGCGGCGTCTGGGGGTCGGGGAGGCCCATGCGCACCAGGACGCTCTCGCTCAGCTGGCCGCGGGGACACGCAATGTGGTGGACCATCTTCGGGCACTGGAGGTAGTGCTGGATTGAGTAGTGCTGGATTGAATCTGGACGGTCAAATCCGTATATGCACTGGCGTTTCTGCGGGTTCACGTGCTTCCATGCACCCGTGAGGGCCTTGAGAATAATCCATGTCCTTGCAGGAGGCTGGGTCGCCAGGAACTTGCGGAGGGGGATCCAGCGCTCAGCAAGGTCCGCAGGGATCTCGCGCAGCTGGACCAGGTCTGGCTCATCAGGCTCGGCTTCTTCGTCGTGTTCGTCGTCCCCGTAGGAGAGCTGCGGGTCGGACTCGACAGGGAAGCGGTCGCGCTGGCTGCACACCCAGCGGCGACGGGGCCGATGCCCGGCGGTGGTGAAGCGGCGGAGGGCCTTCTGACGGCGAACGCAGCGAAGAGGAGGAGGAGGAGGAGGAGGAGGAGGAGCAGCCACGAAGTGAAGAAGACACATTCAGCCTGTCTCATGAAGGGCGACTCCTCGCCCAGAGCCCCGCCTTGCCGTTGCCCATCACCCGCCTGAGCAACGACGCAATTGTGGGGTGACGCACTCGTGCACAAGCGGCCTGACGACCCTGGTCAATTGCGTCGGTGAGGCTGTGAGACAGGTGGCGCGCGCGCCAGGCAAGCGGCATGCTGAGACTCGGGCGTCGCTGACCTCAATTCCCCTGGCCACCCCGCGTCATCTTTCCTCTATGCCCCTGTGAATCCACCACGCTCTTTTCTACTGAACATGCCGCCACATTATCACTGTTGAGTGCAACCGCTGCGTCCGCCACGCTTCGCTGAGACATCCCAACGTAAGGCCAGTCTAGATATGCCTTTCTCTCTCTCTCTCTCTCTCTCTCCCCCCCCCTCTCTCTCTCGTGCTGCTTCTGCAAGGAGTCTAGGGTCCAGGACAACTCCGCCGACCCTTCGGCGTGTGGAAGACGCTGTCGTCGTCGTCGCCCTCGCCAGCCACAAGGAAGGGGGGACGGGGGGGGGAGTATGTTGGTGGTCCCCAAACGTGGTGGTGAGAACACCCGGTGGTGAGTTTTGGGCGATTCGGGTAATGGTTTTCGAGCGCTGGCTGGCCCAGGAAACGCAAAACCTCGTGGCGACCGCGTGTCCCCAAACCCGGTGGCGACCCAGAATTATTTTTGGGGGAATCGGGGTCACCACCGGGTGTCTCACCACCTGGTTTGGAGACCACCAATTGTGGGGGGGGTCCGAACTCAGAATGCCGTCCCCCCCGGGGGTCCCGGGTGGTCCCGCGGGGAGTGGGGGGGGGCGCCGGCGGAGGTCGCCGGGGAGGTCCCGCACACAAAAGGTCGGCGGCAGTGGCCGCAAGGCCTTTCTAAGCGCGCAGCCCATGCGGATGTCTCGCTTGCTGTGCTCCACATGTTACGGGCACTCTTCTGAGTCGCCGTCTCCCTTCCCTTGCCCCTGCTCCTGCGCCAGGAGTGCGGCAAGGAACTTCTGCCTCGCGTAACGCGGCGGCAGCCCCGGCGACACGCCGAGTCTTGGTACGCGGATGGCGTCTCGCGCCGCTGCGTGTGGCGGGAGGCCGGGGAAAGCTATGCTTCAGGACTGGGACGCAACTGGCGTGTCGCGCCGAAGCGTGGCGGACCAGAAGCGGCGGAGCGACACGCTACGCTAGAGCTCCTGCCCATACCCCTGCTCTTCCTCGCACTACTTTCGCCTTCTCCCCCTCTGACTGGTACCCTCCCACTTCTACTCCACTCCCTGCTCTGCTCCTGCGCATTTCGGTGCGTATTTGTAATACTTTGCAGACGGAGCGCCTGTTCTTGCTCGAAGCGTCTGCTCTTGATCCTACTTCATCTTAGCTGCCAATGTCCCCCAAGCAATGCCTTTACTGGGGGCTTTTGATCTTTCCATACAAACGCGCAGAAATTGCTTATGGGGGTCTGGCCGTTGTTGGTCATGGGGTCACGCGCATAGAGCCCCAGCCTAAATTGCCCTCGGTGCGGGTGTGTTGCCGTGGTTCCACAGGGTCCTGCCCATAGTGTCAAAGCCTTCGTAGCCCATGCGTGTTGGGGTGTTGTCGTCAGGGCATCGGGTTCCAACCAGCGGGTCCGGGCTCGTCCCGTGGTCAGGACACGCACGACTGTAGGCTTCGGCGCGTTGGCCTAGCAGTGGCCACCTTTGTAGGTTTCTCTCCTTGCAGGCTGGGGGCACACATTCTAGGGCCTCTGCCTGGGCCAGCCCAAACAGTGCCCAGAGGGGACCTCTTGGCCTTCGAGCGGGCGCTCCGTTTCACGGTAGGGTCTGTCGTGTTCGTCACTGATTGCGCAGAGGTCGCCAGAGGGTGGTACAGTCACGCCTTTGTGCGTGCCGACGGGCCCCAGGCAGACCTTTGGCGCGAGGTGCAGCAGCATGTTGCCGTCAAAGGCATCCTCAATTGCAGTGCTGCAGGTGCCTTCCCATCTGTCAGGAGAGGAGGTGATGGCTCAGCGCTGGCCGACCTGGCTGGTGCAAGGCAATTCGTGTGTCGATGTGTTGGCGGGAGAGGCCGCCACTCGCGCGAGGGCTTCAGAAGTTAAAAGGCATCGGGTGCACCAGGTCGAGAGGAAGGCTCGGCTGGTGCGCAAGCGTCTTCTTCGTGTTGGGCTCGAGTCGATCCGAGCTTCCCAGGAGACTGGGACTGCCCCGATTGTTGCAGGCCCCCGTCTCCCGCCACCTCCTCCTCCCACTGCCGTTGCACGCTTCGCGTCTGCACATGTTTTGGCCGAGAATGGCAGGTCGTGTGTAGTGTGCCGCAGTTCAGCCTCGAAAGACACGGAGCGTGAATGGTTAAAAAGTGAGTGCTTCCATCTCCTGCCCATTGACGGTAAGATCTCCCGAGTTCCCCTGGGCGGATTTTACACTTGGCGGGCGGTTGGACGCGCCCCACCCACGCTTTGCGATTTCACCATGTCGTTGGTGTGTGGTTCTGTGGCGATTGTGGCTCCTTCGGCCAGACCCAGCTCAGGGGTCTTGGAGTCCCGTGCCAACCACAGCTGATCACCAAGGCCAGGCGCGAGTACCTTGACAGGTTAGCTCGCGACCTGCATCCCAAGCTGAGCCAGCAAGCTTGCATATCACTACGTGATGGCGGACATTCCTGAAATTCCCTCTTGGCGCACTCCCCACCCGCCCCCGTGCAGGCCCTCCCCGCCCACACCCCCCCCCTCGGAGTGGAGCGTGGGGAAGCGCCGCAGCAGGCGAGGCGCAGGTGGCCGCCAAAGCCCCCGCCGCCGCCCCTGGCCCCCCGCTCGAGCCGGGCGGGCGCGCCGGCGGCGAGGGCGCGCGAGTGGAGCGAGGGGGAGGAAGGCATCGGGGGGGGGGAGGAGGAGGAGGAGGAGGGAGGGAGGGAGGGGAGGGGGGAGTGGCCGGAGGGAGCCGGGGAGGGGGCAGAGGGTGGGCGCCGGGCGGAGGGCGAGGGCTGGTCATGGGCGCCCGCACCCCAGCGTGTCCGTCCCGTCCCATCGCCTCCTTCTGCCCACCCTCTGTCAAGTTTCACCCCCTCCCTCCACCGCCCCCCCACCCGCCCTCGTGCTGCCCTCTGCCCCTCCCCCCCGCCCGTCTCCCCCTATCCCACCCCCCGCGGTCGCGACGGCCTGGGGAGCCTTTTCGAGGGCTGGCTCTTCTCTGTGCGAGCTGGCCGCTCAGGTGCACACGCCGCTCGGGTCCGCGGGCATGGCATGGAGCATCGCAGGAGGAGGCCAGGAGGAAGGAGGAAGGAGGAGGAGGAGGAGGAGGAGGAGGCAGGAGGAGGAGGAGGCAGGAGGAGGAGGAGGAGGCAGGATGAGGAGGAGGCAGGAGGAGGAAGGAGACAGGAGGAGAAAGGAGGAGGAGGAGGAGGAGGAAAAGGAGGAAGGAGGGGGAGAACGAGGGCTTCAGTCGGGGTCAGGACGACGCAGGGGGCATCGACGGCAGCAATGCCAGGGGGTGCGCACAGACAGCCCCCAGAGGTGACCCCGACTGGCTTCAACAGCTCCTCAAGGCAGCCTGGGTCGACCTCAACACCCAAACGCAGCCTCGGCCAGCGCCCCCCTGGGCACCCGCCCCAGGGTCTGGGTTAGACTGCGCCGGGCTACTGGAGGGAAGGGGGGGCCGCTGCGGCCAGCCCAGACTGCCTGTGGGGACTGTCTGTGCGAGGCCGTCCTCGTCGACAGTGGTGGAAGGAAAGGGAGGGCACGCGTCGGACGGCACAAGCTGCTCCATTTGGAGCATCCGTATGCTGCGCATTGCGCGGTACGCACAATGCTGCGCCCGATAGGGGCTGCATCCGGGCTAGGGCGGGAGCGCCAGGAGATGGAGGATATATGACGGGGCGGCAGAAGTCGGGTCTCGAGTCCGTCCAGGGGTCACGCTCGGACGTCCGCAAGAGGGCCTCTAGATGAACACGTGCGCCTCGACCAGGTGCCAAATCGCGAGTGAGGAGTCGTTCACGGGCTACTCGCCTGTGCGAAGCGGAGCTTCCCCACCGCGAGGTGCGCCCTTTCGACCCATACATTTGCTTGGCAGCGGGGGCCATTCCGAGATGCTACCGTTGGGCAGCCCATGCTGCTGACATCGCAGCTTGCACTAAGGCAGGCGCCACCTTCGAGCCCACGTCGCGGACGTTTCCAGACGTCACTTTCTCGCACGTGGCACTGGCTGTCAGCCTGGACTGCCCCCTAGTCACCCTGCTGAAGCTCCTGCAATCGACGAGACGGCCGAATTCCCCATTGTCCACGGACCGAGCGCTCAAGAGACCGATGGATTTGAGGACCAACGGTTTGGATGTGTGTGGCCGCCAGCGCCGAGGTTAAGCTGGCTACTGGTTCTGCTGCTGCGACTGGCTGGACAACCCCCTTACATCAATTCGTCCCTGGGCGCTCACATCGAGAGGAAATTCGAGGTTGCGGTTTCGGGGGCCTTTCCAGGTCATCCCAAACCGCCCAAGAAAGCCCAGGATCGCTTCCTGGACGGTCCCGCGGAGCATCGAAACGGCCCAAGACCGCTCCAGAACACTCAAGTTGGTCTCAGGACGGCCCAAAAGGCCCCCAAGACGCCCCACGAGAGCCCGAAGATGGCCCCCAAGAGGGCCCCAGACGCCCAAATTCACTGATTTGTCTAAGGTTTTCGGTCGATGACCCAACCCTCCTGTGTTGGGTACTCGTTTTGAATAGAGCACTGTGGTCTCCACCTTCCTCTCCTAATCCCCCTCCTCCTCCTCCTCCTCCTCCTCCTCCTCCTCCTCCTCCTCCTCCTCCTCCTGCCTCCTCTCTCCTCCTCCTGCCTCCTCCTCCCTCCTCCTCTCCTCCTCCTCCTCCTCCTCCTCCTCCTCCTCCTCCTCCTCCTCCTCTCCTCCTCCTCCTCCTCCCTCCTCATCCTCTCCTCCTCCTCCTCCTCCTCATCCTTCTTCCTCCCTCCATTATCCTCCTCCTCGTTTTCTTCGTCCTCCCTGCCTCTTGACCACGCCGTCCCCTGGGGAGCTGCGACCTGCGAAACTGTCGCCACTTTCGTGGGCTCCTGGGAGGTCCATCGGAAGGGTGTCCCACGCAGATCACCATGAGACCTCGCCGTCCCCTGGGGAGCTGCGACCTGCGAAACTGTCGCCACTTTCGTGGGCTCCTGGGAGGTCCATCGGAAGGGTGTCCCACGCAGATCACCATGAGACCTCGCCGTCCCCTGGGGAGCTGCGACCTGCGAAACTGTCGCCACTTTCGTGGGCTCCTGGGAGGTCCATCGGAAGGGTGTCCCACGCAGATCACCATGAGACCTCGCCGTCCCCTGGGGAGCTGCGACCTGCGAAACTGTCGCCACTTTCGTGGGCTCCTGGGAGGTCCATCGGAAGGGTGTCCCACGCAGATCACCATGAGACCTCGCCGCCCCCTGGGGGGCTACGACCTGCGAAACCGTCGCCACTTTTGTGGGATCCTGGGGGGTCCAGCGGAAGGGTGCCCCGCCCAGATCACCATGAGACCTCGCCGTCCCCTGGGGGGCTGCGACCTGCGAAACTGTCGCCACTTCCGTGGGCTCCTGCCGCCACTTTCGTGAGCTCCTGGGAGGTCCAGCGCAGGGGTGTCCCACGCAGGTCACCATGTGACCTTGCCGTCCCCTGGGGGGCTGCGACCTGCGAAACCGTCGCCACGTTGGTGGGTTCCCGGGAGGTCCAGCGGTGGGGTGCCCCGCGCAGTTTTACCATGGGACGTCGCCGCTGCTGTTGGTGCTGATGCTGTTGTTGAGCTCTCGGTACTTAACAATAGCTAGTGTTGATACCCCCCTGCGGTAGCATATGCGCTTTTGGGTTACCGTGCCCTTCCCAGGGCTCGCACCCTGTCTTTTCTATCAAGGAAAGCAACAGCGGCTCCTGCCTGATGCATCCTCACAATGTATTCCCAAATCGCGCTCTCGCGCGGGGATTCCTCACAATGTATTCAGGAATCTCGCTCTCGCGTGGGACGCCCCCGCAATTTCTTCAGACGCCGCGCCCTCGACATTCAGGAGTCACGCTCTCGCTGTGGATTTCCTCACGATTGATTTGGGAATCGAGCTGTCGCTTGAGACCCCCTCGCGATTCGTGCAGGACGCACGCTTCAGCAACCCGCCTGCTCGACCTGTCTGCTTGGGCCCTCCTTCCCGACCAGCCTGGTAAGGTCTACCCGCCCGATCTGCCCGTCTGGTTCTGCCACTCTCTCTCGTGCTCCATCCTCCTCCCTCACCCTTTGTCCCTTCCTTCCATCCGTCCTCTCTTCCCCTGCATCAGGGGCTGCACGAAGTACACATTGCAGGTAAGGAAGGTATACCCCCAAGGGGGTCGTGCCGAAGACGAAGAAAGCGGGTATCGAATGTTCGGGAAGTACGTGTTGAATGGCACGCGAGCAGACAACAGCCAACCATCTTGACATGATTGCTATTGCTGTTGTTGTTGCGTTGTTGAGGTTTCTGTCGTCGTCCTTGCACGCGACTCGCCCGCGACCCACTCCGCGACCCATCCCTAGACCCACCCCGCGAACCTCCCCGCAAGCCACCCGCGACCCACCTGCGATCCACCCCGCGTCCGCCCCCTCACTCTTTTTGTTCGCAACTGCGGGGTGCTACGAAGATGCGCATCTAATGTATATATAAAGCAATACATATATATATATATATATATGTATGTTGTATACATATATATACACAATGATGCCGGCATACATATATACACATGTGCATACAGCCGGATCTATATGTGTAGATATATGCAGTGGTTCTGTAAGGTGTACATACATGTATACCGATGTCGGTTGCTCGATGGACCATGGATGAAGACGGTTGTCCCGATAGATGTCCAGTCCTTGGGTCGGCCTCCTGATCGGCCTTTTGCCCGTCTTATTGGTCGGCTGTCAGATATGGCGCAAGCGCACCTCGCCTGTTCCCCCCTCCTCGCATCCTCCTCCTGTCGCCACTGCTGCTCCTTCTCCTCCTGTTGCCGCTCCTCTTCCCCAACACCATTCGCCGCTGCTCCTCCTCCACCTCCACCTGTTCTTCTTGCCACTGCCGCTGCTGCTGCTATTACCTCCCGCCTCCCCCTTTTCCAGTGGGACCAGCCCATGTGGGAGGGATGCTCCGCTTCGCGCTGGGGGGCGCGACTGCCTGTGAAGAACGCGTGCCCCGCCGCCTCGATGGGCGTCGGCCGCCTGCTCGGGCCCTCCTCCTCCTCCTCCTCCTCCTCCTCCTCCTCCTCCTCCTCCTCCTCCTCCTTCCTTCACTCCCCTCCACCCTCCGTGCCCTCCACGCCCCCCCGCCCCCCTCCCTTCCACCACCCCTTGATCCCGTCGCCCCTTCACTCCCCCCACCTCTTCGGGTCCGTGCGCAGCGCCAGCACCAGGAAGTCCAGGAGCCGTCCCCGCTGGGCACGCTGTCTCGCGAGCTCGTGCGGCCGCAGCCGCCGGGGGGCGCCCAGGACCGCGCGCCTCGCGACCTCGTACTTCGCCGCCGCCACGTGTTGCGACAGCGTGCCCGCATCGATCCTGCCCGACCCTGGGTCGCGCAACTCGAAGGCGAACGCGGGCCCAGCACCACCGCGGGCCATTGGGGCCCTCGCACTCAGGAGGAGCGCCTCCAGCCACCTCGCCAACCGCCCCTGGCGCCATGGCGGCCCCGCCGGCGGCAGGTCTCGCCTGTGGAAGTACTCCTCCACGTAGGGGGCCGCCTGCAGCATGTGCGCCGGCAGCTGGCCCCGCAGCGCCACGATGCGGTGCAGTACGTGCTGCTCGGAGACGCAGTGGGGGAAGACGGGCTCGCCGGCGAACAGCTCCCCGAGGACGCAACCTCATCCTCACCCTCCGTCCTCCCTCCTTCCTTCCTGCAGCTTCTTCCTCCATCCAACTAACCTCATCCCTCTCCTTTCCCTCCTTCCTCCTCCTCCTCCCTCCCCCCTCCTCCTCCTCCTCCTCCTCCTCGTCCTCCTCCTCCTCCTCCCTCCTCCTCCCTCCTCCTCCCTCCTCCTCCTCCTCCTCCTCCTCCCTCCTCCTCGTCCCCTCCTCCTCCTCACTCCTCCTCCCTCCTCCTCCCTCCTCCTCCTCCTCCTCCTCTCCTCCTCCTCCTCCTCCCTCCCTCCTCCCTCCTCCTCCCCCCCTCCTCCTCCTCCCTCCTCTCCTCCTCCTCCTCCTCCTCGCCCTCCTCCTCCTCCCCCTCCTCCTCCTCGCACTTCCCCCCTTCACCCTCCCGCAGGGCACAACCGAGGCTCCACATGTCCGCGGGGTACGCGAAGGGCAGGCCGAGGAAGACCTCTGGCGCCCGGTAGGGCAGGGTCTGGATGGTGATCTCGTCAGAGCGGGGGACCTCTGGACCGTCCTTGCCCTCTGTGCACCGCTGGGCGGTGCCGAAGTCCACAAGCTTCACCAACGGCTCGGCGCGCCCTCGGGTCCCGGGCCAGCACGGCCTCCCGAGCACCTCGCTGGCCAGCAGGGCGTTCTCGGGCTTCACGTCCCCGTGCACGAGGCGCGCCTCGCGGAGCCGGCCCAGGGCGGACGCCAGCTGCCGCCCGGCCGCACGGACGAAGCGCGCGGGCAGCCCAGGCCGGCCGCGCTCCCTCAGCACCTGCAGCAGGCTGGGGCCCAGCCTCTCCAGCGCCAGGCACGGGTGCCCGCGGCACTCGAACGCCCCCGCCAGCCAGACGATGTTCGGGTGGCCCCTCAGCTCCTCGAGGAACTCCGCCTCGGCCTGGACCTCCACGCCCGCGTCCCCGCAATAGTCCCGGTGCTTCACGACCTTCAGGGCCACGGGGCCGCCGCGAGGCCCCGGCCCGTGGCAGTGCAGCACCTGGGCGAAGGCGCCCTGGCCGAGGCGTCCGGAGATCGTGTATGCCTCCTCGAGGCCCTCGGCGCCGCCCGGAGCGATCAGGCCCCCGACGCGGCAGATGTAGTGGTGCTCCTCGTTATCCCACCCGCCGTTGTGGACGCCAGCGCTCGGCTCGGTCAGCACCGCGCCCGCTCGAGGAGGGCCTGCCGGGCCCGGTCCCGGGGGCGTGCCGCCGCCACTCCGCGCACGCTTGGCGCAGGGCTCGGCGAGACTGGGCCGCCGCCAGCCGGCGCGTGTCCGCGCAGAGGTCCCAGGCCGCCCCGCGCTGCCGGCCGCACAGGCCGCGTCGGCGGCGCAGTGGGCACTGCCGGGCTCCCCTCCGTGCGTCGCGGGCTGCCCCGGGACGCCTCGGGCGGGGCGGCAGGGAGGAGGAGGGCGAGGAGGGATACGCCCACTGTGCCAAAGCGAAGCCAGAGCAGAAGACGCTCCCCCGTCCAGTTGGCGGCTTTGGGCCCTTGGCTGTCCCGCGGTTGTCCTGTGCTCACCCCGTAGTTGTCTTGCGGTTGTCCCGTGGTTGCCCTGTGGCTGTCCCGGTGGTTGTTCAGACGGATGTACCGACTGTTATTTCGATGACTGTCCAGATGTTTGTCCAGATAGTTGATTGGTTGATCGTGAGGTCGGTAGATCGACAGTTGTTCAGATGTGGAAATAGATCGACACATGTATTGATAGTGACGCTGACAGTTAGATCGTGAGAAAGGTAGATCCTGACGCCAATGTCATGAGAGTGAGGTCGGCATGTTGATTCAACTCGATGTATGGACCAGTAGGTCTTCTAAATAGATAGTGAGATATGTCTGTGCATGCATCTGCATGATGTAGTGCGGTCGTTCAGTCGATAGATCGATCGACAGATAGGATTTGTCCCAGGTCCTTCCGATGGTTGCCCCAAAGGTGTACGGATGGATTGATCGTGAGATCGACGCATCGGTAGTGAGGCCAGTAGACATATAGTTTGGCAAACATGTTGATAGTGAGATCGGTAGAAAGATAGTGCGACCGATTAGATCGATAGTGAGATCGATCGATGGACAATGCGAGCGATCGCTCGACAACTAGTGAGATCAATACATGCATTATGTATATGTCTGGTCAGCTAGGACAACTTCTAATGAGACAGGAAGGTCGATATTGATCGGTAAGTAGATGCACCGACAAAAAATGTTCGATGGATGGCGACGGTTACCGTGAAGGCTGTCCCGTCGTTGGCTCTACCCTCCAGCCTCCTTATCGGCCTTTGGCTGGTCTTGCTGGGACATCGCAGATTGAGGGGGTCAGATCGGCATGAAACGGAGGCCCCCCAATGGGACGTCGGTTCTGAGTACTTTCGGTTCGTGTCGCGCGTGACGCGCGAGTGCGCGAGACGAAACTGCGAGAGCTTCTGCGCCACCCAGGATCACGAATCCCTGGGAGCGATCCGTCCAAATTACGACTCGAGGCGCGCGCGGCGCGCGGCACCTGCGCCACCCAAGATGAGTCGGGGCGTGCGAGGGGTTGTCCCGCGTGCGCCAGGGCGTGCCTGGGGTTGTCCCGATGGTTGTCCTGATGGTTGTCCAGACTGTGCTCCCGATGGTTGTCCCGATGGTTGTCCCAATGGTTGTACCGATGTTTGTCCCGGGATATTCCCGATGGTTCTCCCCATGCTTGCCTCGATTGTAATCCCCAGAAGTGTCCCGATGGTTGTCCCGATGAATGTCCAGACGGTTGTCCCGTGGTAGTCGTCACGATATTTGTTCCGAGGCAGTCCCGATGGTTGCCCCGATTGGTTATCCGGATGATTGTCCAAATCGTTGCCCCGATAGTTGTCCTGCGGTATTCCCGACGGTTGTCCCGACGGCTGTCCCGATTGTTGTCTCGATTGTTGTCCAAATCGTTATTCAGTTGTCCCGTGCTTGTCCCGATGGTTGTCCTGATGGTTGTCTCAATGGTCGTCCCGATGGCTGGTGCCCCGATGGTTTTCCCGATGGTTGTCCTGTGGTTTTTCCGATGGTTGTCCCGTTGGGTTGCCGTTGGTTGTCCCGATGGTTGTACCGATGGCTGGTTGTCCAAATGGCTGCCCCCATGGTTGTCCCGATCAGTGTCTTGATGGTATCCCGCTGATGTCCTGTGGTAGTCCAAATGGTTATTCCGATGGTTATCAGGTGGTTGTCCCGCGGTTGTCTCATGGTCGTCCCGTGGTTTGCGAATGCAGGATAGTCAACATCACCCCTCAACCCCTCAACCTCCTAATCACCCACAGGGTGGTCTAATAGGTACGTACATGGTATACGTTCTACTCAGTTTTATCTACCAAGCTAAATATAAGACCATCCTGCGGGTGATAAAGCGATTGGAAGGAGGGGATTGATTTTGAATGATTCGTATTCGCAAGCCGTGGGTCAAAAAAGTGACAACCATCCGGATAACCACCGGGACAACCACCGGGAGAACCATCGGAAATACCCCAAGACAATCATTAAGATAATTATCGGGACAGCCACCCTGGCGGCACAACCATGGGGCCACCAATCGGGACAGCACCGGGACAACCATCGGGATACAGATCGGGACAACCATCGGGACAACCACCATCGGACAACCGTCGGGGCAACAATCAGGATAACCAGCGCGACAACCGTCGGAACAACCTTCATCGGACAACCATCGGGACAACAATCGGGACAACCATCGCGACAGCCATCGGGATAGCCACAGGGGCAACCATCGGGGCAACCATCAAAACAACTATCGGGACAACCATCGGGGCAACCATTGGGACGAGCATCGGGGTAACCATCGGGCCGAGCATCGGGGTAACCATCGGGACGAGCATCGGGACTACGATCGGGACACCCATCGGGACAACCACGGGGCAACCCTCGGGAAAACCACCGGAGCAGAAATCGGTACAACCCCGGGCACGAACAAGCACGACCGAACAACCACGGGATCATCGCGGGGCTTTCCCCCGAACGCCCCGACGCTGGGGAAGCGGCACGTTTTGGCGCAACCTGGGCCCAGTGCAAGAACTCGCGCAAGTTCGCCTCGCCCCCACGCGCGGCACGCGCGACGCGAACCGATGTCGATCTCCCGTCGGAGAACTCCGTTTCACTTCGGTCTCAACCCTCATGAACCAACTAAATCTGTGTCGCCGCCCCCCCCCCCTCTGATTGCCTGCGTGGCTGGGTCGACTGGGTTGGCTGGTTGAGTGGCTGACTGGTTGGCAGGCTGGAAGCTCGGCTAGTTTGTTGGCTGGCTGTCTGGACGATTGGCAGGTTAGCTGGTTGGTCGGCTGATGGGCTGGTTCGCATGCTTGTTGGCTGGTTGGAAGGCTGGCTGGGTGGATGGCAAGCTCGAAGAGCGGCTCCATTGTTTTTCGTCGGGTCGTGGCCTCGGGAGCACGGACCTTTCTTCTTCCTACGGGGGATTTCGGCCTCGAGGGCGAGGATCCACAGCTTTGTTGCGAGGGATCGTTGCTTCGGGAGCGTGGATCTCTAGTTGTTTTAGAAAGATCGTTGCCTCGGGAGCGCGGCCCACTGCTTTTTGACGAGGGAGCATGGCCTAAGGAGCGCGAAGCCATGTAGCTCTGAGGGATCGCGGCCCCAGGAGGCCGGACCCAGCGTCGTTTTGTACGAGGGGTCGCGGCTTCGGGAGGGCGGATCCACCTCATCTCAACAGGGGATCGTGGCCTCGGGAGCGCGGACCCACAGCTCTTCGGGGGAGCGCCCCCGCAGCTTTTGGGAGCGGTCGGGCCCACTGCTCGCTGTCAGGGGTCGGGGCCTCGGGAGCGCGGGCGCGCACTTTTGGCACGCGGGGCCGCGGCCTTGCGAGCGCGGGTCCACCACTCCTCTGCCAGACATCGTGGCCCCCAAAGAGGGAACAGTCTGTATTGAGCAGGGACCGACCGTCCCGGCAGTCCTATAGTCATACCACGACATGTTCTTAGAACCCAGAAATGTTCTGAGAACAAAGGCAATGCTCTTAGAACATAAAGCCGATGTGTTCAAACAAGACAGACTCCGCCAAAAATGTTCTAAGAACATTTCGTGGAAACCGCAAAAGGTTATGAGAACATTCTTTGGTGGGGCTATATGCGAACCAGAAGGCTTCGCCACTGCTTGACTTTAACTGGAATTGCAGCCTCGGAGGCGCGAGCCAATGATTTCGTTACGAAGGGTCGTGGCCTCTGGGGCATCGGCGGCCCACCGCTTTTTCAGGAGGGATCGTGGCCTGGGGGGCGTGAATGCACAATTCGTTACGAGGGATCGTGGCCACAATAGCGCGGATCCATCCTGTTTCACATTCCGCCCAGGCACCTGGGAGCTGAGGGAACATGGCTCGGGCGTGGTAGCGCCGTGCTTTCGAGTGGAGGAGTGTCGTGCGCATTCTCAGAAACCGGACCTCCTTGGAAATTGAACAGTTCTGTGATCTGTGAACTGGCGAGTAGCAAGCCACAAAGGCCACGTTGCTGAACGCCCAAAGAGAACGCAATGCTGCGGATTGCCGCAATGCGCTGGCGAAACCTAAGCTCATCAATTGCTGAAACCTCATCCGGGCAGCCTGAAAGCCCCCACAATGGGAGGGCGACTGACCCACTATATCCCATGGGTACAGATGGACTTACACCATACGGCCCGCCAATGATATACCCAACTACCTGCCAGGCCAGCTATCCATATACCTAACGTTTCAACAGATTTGCAAATGGAACTGTTTTTCGATTTGCATGTCCCACGGGACAACCCACGGGACACCAATGGGACAATCCCATCACAACCGCGGGACAACCACGGGGAAACCCCGCGGCCCCCCGCGAGACACGGGACAACTCTTGTGTTGTCCGACTTGGCCATAGCCTCGGCCGGCACACTACCACCCTCGCGCAGCTTGGCCTCGCCCGCGCGCACGACACGAACCCAAACCGATGTCCCAGGTCAGGCCACTCTGTTCCACTCCTACCCACCTCCGAAACACTATCATACCTTTTGATTCAGAGGGTTGGTGCTGGATTCCCTCTGCACATCTCTTCCTGCCGTCGCGCGGAGCGTGTCGTGGTGGGGAGGCACGGGGCACTACAAGCGCCACCAAGGGGAGAACTCCGCGCGGACCTCAGAACATCTAACTATACGACAGCGCTTCGGGTAATGAGGTGCTGTTTTGAGGGGGGAAACCAACTGATGACAACTGCGACGATTGCGATCAGGACGACCCTGGTGATGCGCTCACGAGTTGGCGACGGTGCACAATGACGAGGACGGTGAGCGATGGTGATCGTGTTGAAAGTGACCCTGGTGATGATAGCGGTGATAGTGATGGTGATTATGATCGCTGTGAAGAGAGAGGCCAACGCCTTCCCGGGTGCCACCAG